GATGTTGTAAAAATTATAAAAATTATAAACATACGCTTTTGTACCTTATTCCAATGCAATGTCTGAAGAAGTTAAATATTTCACAAAACAGAAATTAAAATTTAACAGAGAAATTAAATATTTTCTCCCACGGACAAAAAGTGCAGTGAACGTGTTAACCATCGTTCGGTGTCGATGCAGCGTGTTAGATCGTCGTTCCTTCGAAAGATCGAAAGCGATCGGCTTTCGCCATCGCTTTACTGGGAAAAGCGTTGGAAAACCTATGCGTAGCACGAGGATGGCAACTCGATAATTGAGTGAAAGAACAATAAGGCTTGTTGGGCAAGGTGAGGGTAATTTAACGCGTACAATAGAGCGTGCAAACTGACTCGAGAGAGAAATTGCGCTTTGTCCGCGACTGATAGCGTTACGAAGCTTCCTCCACGGGTCGTAGTCGCGTAATTAATCGCATCACGGAGATGTAGCGACAGATATAGGTTTCTTTTATTGATCACGTGTATTCTTCAAACACTAGTGGGAATATTCGGTTTGCCTGCACGAGAGAAATATTATCCTCTGGATTATATTTGACAATTTTTACGAAACGAATGACGAAAATTAGCTTCTTAGAAAAAAAGTTGTAAAATGTTTTGCTTTTCTTTATTTTCTTTTTTTATCAGAGATAATATTCAATTGTTTTTCTGGCAAAATTTGGCTTTTATATTCCGTGCGAAATTTGCGATCTTTCGTTCCTCGTATTTTTTTTTTCTTTTTTTTTTTTTTTAACCGATACTATCACGGTGCAGAATTGTTGTGCTGCAACATTTCGTAGTTAGTAATGAAATTTCAAACGAGAACATTCCCTGGCAAATAACGTTCATTCATACCGTTCGAATCTTATGCAAATACGAGACAATAACCCGATTTGCAATTCAGGCCGGCGATCATCTTATTAATAGGTATTGTTACGTGCGCGTTGCCTTGGCTGAAAGAAATTAACCGCAAGGTTACGAACCGCTGCGCGGAATGCCGTAGGCGCGAACCGAACAACAGGATTAACTAATTACACGAACAATTAAGCTAATTGCGGTGAAGAGGCTGACACGAACGCCTCCGCTCCGACCGCCTCTCTCATGCGTTTTTAATGAATTCCGATGTTCGTTCCATCCCATTCATCGGGGAAAAAATATTCTAAACCACAAAAAAAAAAAAAAAAGAAAAAAAAATAGTTTATCTCTGTAGAAATACGGAATGTCAGGTTACGTGTATTTCCACGAACAAAAACATCAGTCGATTCTATGAACAAGTACAATGTTAAAGATTATCAAATTTTACGATTTTACAATTACTAATATGTTATGATATATTACACATATAATTTATATGCAAAGAAGACTATTCGAAAATTTATCGAAAATTTTACAATATTTAGTAATATATGTTGAGATGTATCATACAAATATGTTTCTCCTGTTGGTGTTTTTAATTATTCCCGGTGGGATTTTAAATTAGATTTTCCTTTTAGCTAGCCAGAGGTTTTTCAGCGTGAAATTTGCCGCAGCGCTTCTTTTTCACCCATTCTGAGCTAGCTACAGTTTTCTCGCGTTGATGAAATTATAAATGTTTTACCGGCGTTGTTTGGCAACAATTCCTCGTTGACGGGAACGAAGAGGAATATAAATGGAAATTTCGCGGGAACCTTGTAAATTTTCTCTTTGGTTAACGAAAATGATTATCGTCGAGTGAAAAGTGGGACGATTCAGTTAACTGGACGTGATGCTGAACTATTTGCAAGTGAGTTGTTGAACGAAAAAGTTGGATGGATAAAGTTATATGGAATGAAAAGAGAGTAATGCAAAATGGAAGCTTGTTCTTTTATTAAAACGAGAGGATTTGATTTATTGGTGAAGTATGCAATATGCGGTCTCGCATTAAATATTTCATTCCGTGTTTCGTGCGTTGTATTCGTACTAAAAATTGCAGGAATTAAGTAAACGTCGAACGAAATATAAAATTACACGTAGAATATAAAATTGAATGTGACTGAAATATCTCGTAAAATTTATTTTATCTCGAATATTAACAAACTGAATATTTTTTTTTTTTGTCTGCGTTAGTAAAAATATTAATCGCTCTTATTAAAATGCTTTTTTTCAAATTACTACTTTCTCGCACTTTTTCGCAAATTGTAGTAACTTAGGAACTTGGAATCAAGTTCAACAAGTTGTACAGAAAACTGTAAGTTCGACTACAGTCGCAGCGGTGCAGGAAATAATATAACCTCTGGTCGGTATGTAGAAATGAATTTTTCCGCTGTTACCGACGTTCGGTAAGTTAGTACGGTTTCCTTTCACATGGCGCTCTTTTTAAAATTCTAATACGAATCATATTTCTATACGCCTCTGTTTCAGTTTTCAATTGATGTAATTTTAAATTCAGTTACATATAACATCAGTTTATGTGTATTAAAAAAAAAAAAATGCATATTATTTAATTAAAAAATAGACTGATATATTTGAAGAACTGTGTCCTGCAAATTCTCATGACTGAATGTTTTCAAATACATATTTGTATCTCGTTACTTATCATGATGCACGTACAAACCGTTATGAGAAGCAATTGCTAACGTCATGCACGCGCATTAAGCCAATGGCGTAGAAACGTTCGTTTCAGTTTCCCGACTATTAAAAGAAAAGATTACCAAAAAATTACCGTGCGAATTGCAAAATTTATTTCAATGCTATCCACGTGATAACAAAGCAATTAAATTTCCGATTGATCAGTGTATTTTAAATGTATATGATAAATATAATCCAGAGTATATACTTCTCGAATAATTTCCACGATGAAAAATGTTTATATGATACAACTAACGTCAACGTTTTCATAACTTTCTCGATCCGATTTGTCCGACAAAATTGTAATAAAAATACAGTGCTGCAAACGTTAGTAGGAAGTTGGATGGTAAAACCGGTATGAACACCAACAACGCCATACGTCCGCAAGTCCTACGCCTATATCTAACCATTAATGGTCGCACACCCCCTACAAGGTGGAGTAGAAGATCATGGTCGATCGTATAAGGCGTTCCATTCGTCGGATCGTTGACCGTGCAAGGTGATACCGTAGTCTCTTCACCTACGATCCTCTGTTCTTACGCGAACGAATCAATTTTCACTCAAAGGCCACTTAACCTCTTTTACGGCATCCAATATGGCGGAAACGCTATAATGCTTTCTAATGCGTCGAACGATGTCGCGTGACTTCCATTGAAAGTCATTTTCCACGTCGCAAATAGGAATTCTTTGTTTATTATTTCTGCTGATGAAAGAAAATACGAAAAAAGAAAATATGAAAATATGAAAATATGAAAAAGAAAAATACTTTTGTACTGCGACATGTATCGTAGCATTCGCGTAACTTTTGTTATAATTTACGTTGCTCGGTTCGTTCGTTGATACAGTAAAGATTTCCTCTAAAGGATGTTTTACAGATTCTGTATCGACTGCGCTCTTTTACACGGTCCGCTGTGTACTTTTAACGGGACGCGATTTCTCCGAGTACACGCGATTGTATTGTTCTCGTTTTCACGTTGTTCGATTCAAATTTTCTCGTTCGCGCGTTGAGCGTGTTTGTTTTTCGCGATAGCGATCCGTGTTATTTTGCAAATGAGCTGTTTAGAAATTTCACTTTCTAAAAGTGAAAAGTTACGTTCGCCGCGTACGAATTATGTCAACATTGCCAGTTACTTCAACACCATATTATTTATTCGTCATAGAAAATACACAGAAATTCAGATGGGACGAAAATTGAAACAAGTCGCGAGATTTTGTAAATTTTTGTTTAATATCATATAGTCTTTCAGTGGCCACACTGTGGAGATATATCGTAAAGTAATCTGTCGGAAATATATACAGCGAAAAGGATCATTGCAAATATTCAGCTTCGATGGTTTCCCAATCACGCGTGTGTCGAAGGTCTTTCCGTGCCACGATAATTCTCACGATGGTTCAGTCATCGCGTTTACCAAGTTCAGCCGGTGCTGAACGATAGAGAAGAAAATTTTAATTTCTGACCGGAGGCTGCCCCGTCACGTTGCCACATTGCCTTTTACACCACTCGTGTCTCTCCCTTTCAAATCTCACTGCTTTCCCACGTCGAATCTGCTCGCCACACGCTCGCCAGCCATCCTTCGAGTTTCAGTAAACGCGCTTTGTTCGAAGCTTGAATGAATGAATGAATGCTTTCGTTCATCACGTCGGTTTTTCTCAATAGGATCGTCGGACAATTCACGATAGATGTACATATAGGTAGTTGGCAAGATTTTGTATAGAGTTATTAATGATCATAAATAATGTGGAATCAAATAATCAATAATCACTGATTAATGAGTAAGGAAAGTGATCGAAATCATTGTCGCAAACTTTTGATTATGATTGTATCAGTGGTTCATCTTTATCGACGATACTGTACATATTTATTATTTGCGTTATCGTGCAATTTTGTCAGAATGTGTTCAAGCAATTTCCCGTCAATTGAAAGTCTCATCTATATTGTTATCTGTATCGAAATTTCGAGGTTCTTCATTCACGACACGCACGTAATTTTTAATGAAAAATATATCATCAAGTATAAAAAAAAGTAGTACATTTTGAATAATTATATTAAAAGGTAAAATAAATAGAAAATTTATTATAAAATTTCTTAGTAGAATTAGAATTGGATGTCCAGAAATTAAATTTGATGACAATCGAATTGATAAAGTCAATGGTTGAATTATATATGTCTAATTGATTCAATAATAAACTATAAAATGTATTAATAATTTTGGTGAATTATATGGAGCTAAATGTGTGAAAAATTTGATTGGGTATTTATACAATGAAAATAGAAAAAAATCTTAACCATAAAGATAATGATATAGATAAATTAAATATTAAATGTCTAGTCAAAGGGAAAATATATGGAAATAATCTAAAAAAATTTGTAAATATTGAATAGATTATTAATCTTAAAAAAATTAAAATACTTGAGGTAAATTTTTGTGCAACTTTAAATCTAGAAAAATATATCATCAAGTACTATAAACTTTACAAAAAAAAAAAAAAAAAAAAAAAAAATTTTCCAAATTCAACAATACAGATACTGTTATGCAGCGTAAATATTCTCTCTTGATCTTTTAGTCTTTTAGTTTACCATATTTATGAATGAATTTACATTGTATAACACTTGATATGTGATTGACACGTATAGCAGTGTGAAGGAACAGAAATTATTCACTCAACGATTCAAAAATTACCGATCAACAAACAGTTAATCTAGATCAGTGATTTATTTTAATCGATAAACGATCGCGATTGTTATGATTACTATTTAGTAATCGATCACTGCAAAACTCTGGTTTAGGTTAGGTTAGGGTAACGCAGAGTAGTGCCCTCATAAATGACTTTTTGTACTACCAATGCTCCGTCGTTTATCTTCACCAAATTTTTGGGATTGAAACTATCTCTCACTCGTCCTCACTCTTTTTTTTTTCAATTTGCAGAGTACATCTGGACGCTTATGAGAGCACTACTGCAGTAGCCCTCGTTTAACACGTTCCGTGCCATGTGTACCAGCAGTGGTACACGTTAAACTTGATCATCATATTTCTAATAATATTACCACAAGTGGTAGACGATGTGATAGCTACCCTAAACAAGAGAACTACTTATCGATTGATGATGTAATGAAAGATT